TACACTTACGGGTAGATGAAAGGGACCGATACCAAACTAGGCAAAGATGCTTGATATGGAGAGCTTTGCCATCAACTGCCGATGATTATTGTCACAGGGACAGCCGGAGAGTTAACATCTCCCCATACGGCCAAGACCAGCGGTCGTAAGCTTCATGCACTGATACCAAGTCCTGGTTTGGCCACCGTGAGCCTTCTTCCGACCCAAGCCAGCTTTTGCTAGCAATGCTCATTGAGACAGGCACCAGCTCCCCATACCCGAGCAACGCTGCGAATACGTCTGTAGTCAGTGACCTGCAACCTATTAGCGTTTTTTGACGCGCGATACTTTGGTGGTGGTCACCTGGTTCGAGCTGATACAACCTCCAATTTACCACAATCATTTACTGCACCCTATTATTACGACTACTTAGGCATATGTGTAATTCTGAAAATGTGGTGCCCACCGGCAGATAATTGGGAGAATAACACCATGATGTACAAACAGCATATATATTTAGAGATTGTTGAGTAAACGGCTAGTTGAGATTTCACTGGCCGGTCAAAGATTGCAAAGAAACCCTGAGATGTTAGTCTTTTCCACATCACGGACCTCGTTTCTCAGTCTCCGCTCCTTCCTGTATATCTGCTGGTGAATTTGTGTATTAGTTCCATGCATAATCGTGTAGTTAATCTCTCACACGGTACCACACCAGTGGGTGCCACATCGCCCCAACAACACCTTTCCCAATTACGCAACAACTGTTTTACCACAGGGAAGGCTGTTATCCTGTAAAACATAAGATACTTTCAACTTGCGAGAAGTGTAAGTGCTATGAGATCATGTATCCACAGGGGATTTTTTCGCAACGGGTACACTGCATGAACATATAAAAGTCATATAGTTGACCCAGAAGACAGTTCCACTGTCCATTATGGACCCTTCTTCGTTGCTGTTAAAGTTCACACAATCGCCACGTGGGCGACTAAATTTCTTTGACGCTGCATGTCCTGCGAATGGTGCGACCTGGTCAAGAAGGTGGTATCAGTGAACTTGAAGAGGTCTATCAATGCCTCCGGCTATAAGTGCTTCCGTTCTTCTACATTAAAAACCATGGTTGAACTGACAAACTTTTTATGAACTCCAAACTTCAAACTTGGTGTTGTAGAATTAGCGAACTGCTGTTCCTCGGGTTCTACGTTTGTCTTATTGGAATACGTTCTGAGTTTGGAATGGTCACAATTATCTTCCCGGTTCTGGAAAACCTGAAAGAATAGAGATAAGATTAATTAATTAATCTGGTCTCAAGTTAGTATTACTGCATCTGATCTGGGGAAAGCTTCTCACGTATAGCCCATCAGTACAGGACGACTCGAGGTGTGCGTCTAGCCTCCTTTTAAAGGTATCCGGGGATGGGGCTGTAACAACTACTGAAGGGAGGGAATTCCACAGTTTACAGGCTCTAACTGCAAATGAGTTAGCAAGGATCTTTGTGCGTGCTCTGTCATGTTCCATTCTTAACGGGTGACCCCCAAGTTGCGTTTCCGACTGAGGCTTAGAAGGGGTCTGTTGGGATGGAGGGGATTGTGGGCGATGTGGTACATCATGATCATATCCCCTCTGATCCTCCGGTGTTGTACTGGGTGCAGCTGAAGAGCAACTAAGCGGCCTGGGTACGGTTTGTGCCGTAACCCAATCACTTTCTTTGTAGCTCTTCTCTGTACCCGATTTAGGGTGGCAATGTCCTTCTTCAAGTATGGGGACATTATGAGCGAATTTTTTTTAAATGAGGTCGAATGTACACTGCACACTGTGATGAAAAGAGAAGGAGTTAGACACCCTAAGGTTCGCAAGAGAAACCCCAAGATTCCATAAGCCCTATTGGCTGCAAGGCCACAGTGAACAGAGGCTCCTGGTGTATCATTTAGTGTAACTCCCAGATCTTGTTCCATGTTAGAGTGACAGATATTTATTTCACCTAGAGAGTAAGAACTGTGACTACCTTTATGTTTGTCAACTATCATAATTCGACACTTCTTCGAGTTGAGAGGGAGCTTGTTTTCTGTAGTCCAATTAAGGATTTTCATAAGATCCTCCTGGAAGAACGAAATATCCTTTGGTTCCTGTATTTCCCTCCAGATCTTCAGATCATTGGCATATAATAGCGAATGTGAATTAAGGACCCTGGTAGGTCATTGATAAAAGCAAGAAACAGCAGCGGGCCCAGTTTGGAACCTTGAGGCATACCACTCAACATCGGGAACCAATCAGATAGAGAGGAGCCGACTCTGACTACACCCTGGTGTGTTGACAATCTCTAAGCCAGATTAATAATTTTCCGTGTACACTCATGAGCTGGAGTTTCTTACAAAGGATATCATGATCTACCTTGTCAAAGGCCTTGGAAAAGTCAAATAAACCAATGTGTATGGGCTTTTTCCCCTTGACAGAGAGTGTCCAGCTATTCCAGGCTATCAACAAGTTGGTGTTACATGACCTTCCTGGTAGAAAGCCATGCTGACAGTCGTTTAGGATTGATTTCTGAGGTGATCACGTAGTGAGTCACTTATGACTCTCTCCATGACCTTCGCAACTGAAGAGATCAGGGAGATTGGGCTGCAGTTGGAGGCGAGTAGTTTGTTTCCACCTTTATAAATTGGGACGACAGCCACCCGTTTCCAATCAGAGGGTAACCTGCCTTCCAGAAACGAGCATTTGAAGAGGTCTGCTAGTGGGGCACGCAGAACTTCAGCACACTCCTTCAGTGCTCCTGGGTGAATACCATCGATTCCTGGAGACTTATTCGGGTTCAGTTTCTTTAATATTTCCATAATTACAGAGAGTTTAAACTCCATATGATTTAGTCCTTCTGTGATACGGGTGTCCGACAGAGGCGGGGTTTTTCTTCCCAAATGACAGTTGTTTTGGAACTCATGAGCTAGTAGATTTGCAACTTCGGAGTTGGAATAGAGAATCTCCAAACTAATGGGGTCCTGTAAACTTAGTGAACTGTTACTCTTCTGTTTCATCAACGAGTACAGTATCCCATGATTCCCCTCCAGGGTTCTACAAAGTTGTGTCTGGTGGTTTATTCTGTCATTTCTGATCCTTACTGAACATTTTTACGGATGTCTTCATAATTTAGCCAGTCAAAAGGGCTATTAGTGTACCTCCATAGATTCCAAGAGGACCGTTTATGCCGTATTAGTTTGCGCGTGCTAGACTTAAGCCAGGAGGAGTAGAACTTGTTATTTCTTCTTGGGATCAGAGGAGTGTTGTCTTCTATCGTCTGTGGGATTATACTCTCCAACAGACCCCATCTAGCATCAAGATCCAGTAGGTCATCGCAATTTAAGCAAGCGGGACCTTCTAGATCTGCCGAACCTTCTCGAAATCAGTTCTCTTGTAATCCCTAACTAGAGGCTGATCGGGAACGGGTGGCTTAGATACAGAAATATTGAAGGAGATAACTGCATGGTCACTTAGGCCAAGAGGGCTGAAAACATTCAAGTTGCTTACTCCAATGAACTGATTTGTGAAAATATAATCTAGTCGGGATGCCTTACCGTCAGGCCACGAGCAGCACACTGGGAAACATGTTTTGTCAAGGAGTTTTCCAGTAACGATTCCCGAAAGCCTTTTAGAGCAGTAGATGGACTTTCTGTGGTAAAGAGTTGAGGAAAGTTAAAATCCCCCTAAATGAGGACCTGTGGGAAGTTCAGTTCCAGGGCTCCTCTAATGGACTGTATCAACATTTTATTTA